ATTATTGTTACACAATGTGAACATTTATTCGCTTGGTGTTCTTGCAAAACAATTTTTCCATTTGATTTCAAGTTAATTGGTCAATTTTATCAATTTTATTAAGCACCGGTTGTTGCCTTTTGATAAGTATACTTTCTTTTACTAGAGCTTGATTTTGGGAGCTAATACTAGTCTGCTAATTGAACTCTTGTATAAGGGGAAGCACAGAAGATATTATACAGTTGGAATGATTAATATCATCCATCACAGACATGTTATATGGTGTTTCCAATAGACTAGGCTTGTACAATCCTGTAGAATTATCAACGGCAAGATAATTATTGACAAAATATATGGTGCTGTTGAATGTATCAATCCATTATGCATTTCATTCAAGTGTGGATGCACTATAAGCCTCAGATCCTCATTCAACAATTGCCATTGCTATTGTTAGTACATTGACCTTCTCAAAAACTTACATTCTTTCTACATCACCACCAGTCAATTTATGCTGGACATTCAAATACTTCAATATCAAAAAGATCTGATGGAAGCCTCTCCTGGTCAAGGAGATTTCTGTTCATTTATTATTACATGGGGAGATGTTTTATTTAATAACAAAATTTTTTTTATAATATATGTATTGACATCTTGGTCTAAACAATTTGGTTTTCTTTCTTGTGGATATAGGCATAGCATTAACAATGCATATATCATATTGCGCGTGGTTTTTGAATAGTTACTTTGAAATAAAAATAGTGAATATTCTTTGTTTATGACTTTTTATGGTGCTGTTGCTGTCTTGACTGTTATGACTAGCCAAAGTTAGATCGGAATTATTTTATTGTTAAATAATTGGAACCTTTAAATGCATATATGTTGCTTGTTTCAATTGTAGAATTCTAACTTTTAATATAAGCCTGTCATTATCTATAAAAGAAAGATATAAACATTATCGTGGTGTTTGTAAGGTCATATCTACAATAGAGATATATACATATGAGTGGTCATAATCATAGGTCAAAATTAATAAATTAGTATAGCAGTTTTATCATCTTTTGGTAGCCGGATAGCGTCAGTTAGCATATGCTATTGATTGTGTTTCTGGGTTTTAGCTAACTGACTCCATTCAGTAAGGAAACGGCTTTGTTCCATTTAAAGTGAATTATCCTTTTAAAACCTATAGATTATACATATCTATTTTTTAAAATTTTTCTTTGAAGCAGATTTATCTTATATATCTTTAATAAGTAAAATATACTGTATTTACAACTGAAATGGTTATAATGAGGAGGCTGATGTTCAGGATCTGATAATATTAAAAAAAGAAATTACTTGGTAATTAATTATTATTTCGCAATTTCGCACCATATACTAATAATCCCAATATGAAATAAATCCCAAGCTATGAATAAGTCCATGTAATGTCAATTCAACAAATCCTATCTGAGATTTTTCAAACTGGGTCACATAATCTTCAAAAACATCGAAGTTTAAATTTTTGCTTGCATGTAAATTCAAATTGCAATATCATTGTTATCATTAACGTTATTGTTGTAAATAGAATCTAAACATAATTCAATCAAAATAAACAATTTTATTTATGTAGTAATTGTAAATTAAAGGTAAATATTGGAGGTTCTCTAACAAAAGATAGTTTAGACGCTCTCCGAGTTTTTTGCATAATATATATAAGGATGAAAAAATCATTTTCTCAAAATAATTTAATATACACACCCCTATAAAAAGTATCGACTCACTTGATGATCCATCAAAATAATCGAATAAACGGGTAATACAAATACTCGTTTTTTTACTAAGCAAATCGATGTTTTGTATTAGTAAAAAAATATTTGTTGAAATGATTACCATAACACTCTAAAATATCACATCGGGCCAATTGTTATTGATAATTTTATGACGTTTAAAAGTCAAATTAAAATTTTTTGAAAATTTTTTGAAAAAGTAGCACTTAGAGCCATTTAAAGATACAATGTTTTAACACATCTTGGAAACTTAGAAAATGTTGTTCCATTTGTTTTCAAATATATATATATACACATTCATAATTATTGATCGAATATTCATGGAGCATTAATACAAAATGTAAAAATAATGAAAAAATTTTCATCAACAGTTTGTATAATATTTTTACATAATAAATCTTTATTAAATTTATATCAAAAGTATCAAAAAAGTATAAATATTTCATTCATTTATTCAATATTTTGTTGGGTTTCCTTTTGATTCAATTACAGCTTGGACCCTTCAAGGAATGCTGTTTACTAATTTTTGCAAATAATCATGATCAAGATTTACCCATTCATCCATTAAATAAGAAATTAATTCATTTGTATTTTTTTGGGAAGCAATAGTAGTTTGATCTTAAATGCTTTTATTGCATGAGTTACTTGTGACTGAGAATGATTGAGTGCACCAGTAATGTCGCAAACGCTTTTATCTGCTTCCCAACATCCAATTATTCAAAGTCTGTTAATTGAGACATGATGTTTTAATCGAAATAACAAATTGAAAGTTCAATCTTTTTTTTTAAAAAAAAATCTAGTTTTGGTTAGATATTTCAGCTGCAATTGCCCTTTAAAGTTTGTTCACACATAATGATAATTGTCTTGCATAAAAAATTCATTATGATTTTTTTTACGTTTTGTATTAATGCTCCATGAATATTTGATCAATAATTATGAACATGTATATATATACATTTGAACAAACAGAGCAACATTTCTAAGTTCTCAAGGTGTGTTAAAACATTGTATCAATAGCTCTAAGTGCTACTTTTTTGAAAAATTTTTGAAAAATTTTAATTTGACTTTAAACATCATATAATTATCAATAACAATCGGTCCAATGTGATATTTTAGATTATTATGGTAATCATTTCAACAAACATTTTCTTACTACGGTGCAGATCATCTATAATCATTAATTGCTTATAGTAACAATTGGTCAACTTCAAAATACTAAAACAATAAAAAATTTAACCGATAAGTTTTATCGTTCATGACTCAAGCTTCAAAACTTATCAGCTGGTTTTTTCTTAAACTGAAAATTGGCAGAGCCTTAGCATTTTGAA